AACTAGATAGCCCTGTGTTGCCCTGATTTATGTATACATACCCAGGGCTACAGAGAAGATGTAGGAGATGCTCCTTCAGCTAGAGTGCTGCTACATACTGTCTGGGCCTCTGGTTATGTGTCTGTTGTCCCAGTGAATAGCTGGAGAACAAGCTCAGTAGCTAATGCTGGAAGAAACTCTGCATCACTGAAACCAAGCACTGAAGAAACCACACAATGCCAAGCAACGGAAAAACAGAATGTTCTATGGGAGTTCAACCAATAAGCCACACAGAAACCAGGAAGAGAACCCCCTCTCCCTACAGTCTTCTTCCATCACCTCCCACTAACCAGTATTAGCATTGTGCTAGTTGACAAAAGAGAAGTATTTAGAGTCCAACATCATCATCACAGAGTAGGCAAAAAGGATATTGGAGCTGAGAGATGGTAAATCAATAATGAGTCAGACATCATTATGGATGACTGTTGACCGTTCATGCAGACCCATCCCTGAAACGTTATCAAATATGTCTCATGATAGTCAATCCAGGAAAATAAAGAGGGGAATATTTATCCTTTGTATCATATTTACCATTGGACCATTGGTTAAAGTTGATCTTATGAGTTGTTAATTCCCTCATACTTCCTCACATGTATAAATACCAAGTGAGTATCTGAGAATGTGTTATGCCTCAGTGTCAGTCTGGGAACAAGAAGAAAAAAGGGCACAGTGCAGACCTAAAGCAAGGAGTTATCATGTTCTGCCTGTGTGAACCCATCCAATGATTGATGAGCCCAGTTGTTGCAATAGTGACAGGACAATGAGGTCAAAGGATTTGACATGGTGCACTATAAGAAGCTGATTCACTACATAAACTCAAACCCTGATGTTCTGGCCTGGAGAGCTTGTAGGCTGATAGGAGACTGGTTGCCTCTGAGTGAGGTTTGAGCCATCTCTCCTGTTGACAAGTCCTCTTGTTCTTTTCTGGTACAAGACCTACTTTCTATTTAATTCTGTAAATCAATTGGTGACATACTTATCAACTTCTATTTCTTTACCTTTTTTAACCTCAGATAGAGAAGATAAATGGTTCAGAAAAAGGTTTTCATGGGCCTAGTGTTTTAGAAAGCATGGAGGCAGATCCTGGACAATGGGGAAATTTCTGAAAGAATATCAAACACGTAGAGGTGGTCTCAGAGTGGGCCACTGAGAGCAGCTTTTTTTTTCCTTTTTTAAGTTGGGCTATGGGGCTCCAACACAGGGCTTGAACTCATGACCCTGAGATCAAGACCTGAGCTGGGATCACTTAACCAACTCAGCTACCCAGGCACCCCACGAGCAACTCCTTTTATAGGGAATATAAATTCCCTATAATTCATAGCATTTTATAACAAGATTATCAGATTAACAAGAAATACAAAGATGAATAAGAGATGGGAAGAAATAGAGAAGGAGGGGCTGGGGCAACAATTTGAATTGGAGAATGAAAAGTAGGAGGACGATAATACATTTTATTTAATCTTCCACCTAAATTTTCTTAGGTAGATTTGCCTTTTACCTAAATTTAGCCCTTCTAAGGACAGAGTTCTCACTGCCATGCGTCCTGAAAAACACAACACACTAAATTTTCTAATTCCAGCTGGTTTTCTTCCTGGTAAACTTAAAGCTTTCTGGACCTACAGATCAAGCATCATCAACTCAGAATGATGCAGATATATGTCAAGGACCTGCAATGGCAGGATGTAGCATAGACATAATTGGACCATAAAATTTCTTTATGATCCTTGACAGATGCTGGATTAAGTATATCGAGTTTAAGAATTTGTATTACTTTATCTAATGTGTTGACTGTAATATATATATTGGAATGTGGAGAGTCAATATGAATAATTTATAGCCCTCTTTTCTCCACTTTTCTGCATGACCTACTCTGATGACTGTAGCTCTCACCTCTAGCACATCCTCTTATACTAACCTGAAGACCACGTGATCATTGCTGGTTTATGCAAATTTGTTCATTTATCTATTGTTACTTTGTTTCAGGTCAAAGGTGTTTGCTAGGTCTTGTTTTCTATTCTGTCTCTGAGAACTGTATGTCCTCCTACAACATGCACCAGAATTACACTTTTTATTTATTTCCAATTTTCAAAGTTGAGGTTGAATAAAAAATGGTTAGTTCTTTAATTGAGGGTCTAAGATTTCAGAAGGCTTGTGATTCTGGGATTTTCTTTCTGTTGTGTGAGATTAAATGCTCTCAATGGCCAATAAATATGTAGGGACTGGATAGAAGACAATGAAGAAAGGAGTGAATGATAAATTTGAGAGTTGTTACTGACCTAAATCCACTCACATTTAAAATAAAAGTACATGTTGTGATGACCAAACAGAACATATCTGTGGGCACAATTCCACATAAGGTCTGTGGTAGTCTTAGATTTAGTTTACTAAGGCACACACTTAATCATTGAGCTGTAGCTGGACAGAGGTCACTTTACCAATGTCTGAGACAGGCTGTCCTCAAAGCTTGCACCTGATGTAGGAACAGCATCTCAAGCATTAATTAAATCTACAACTATGAGTCAGAGCCTGCTCTCTGCATTTCTTAGGAGAGCAAGTTATGGATAGATATAATTGAAGCTAGAGAATCATTTTTCCCAGGGGAGTAGGTGTCTGTTAATTCTCAGGAGGATGTGCCTATGCTAGGGAAGATTATAAGGGTATATATAAGGATATGGATTCCCAATATGATGCTGGAGCAGAGAAGTTACAGAACTTGGAAGAATTTGAAAATTTTTCACCCTTGCTCTGGGATAAGGAACCCAGGATCCTGGTAGGTGTCCTAGAGACTCAAATTTAATTTCTTTCAGTTTATTTTATGTTTCCCAGTGAAAACTCTGCAACTTTCAGCGTTCAACTTATGGCTTTGAAAGGGCTGTAGGTAAAAATGCTTTGTGGCTTCTTCAACCTAAGAGATCAAGCTGCATTTGGGACAACACTGAAAGGTGAAAAGATTAGGGAACATATGTGGGATAGGATACATCTTTATACTGGCATGAAGAACAGAGTTGAAAAGACGAAAATGTCAGTAGTAACTCATTTCCTTAGTTACCTGATTTAGGCTGCAGCTTTTCAAAACATATTCAGACATGGTATCTTAGAAATGACCTTTTTAAGGAGAACTTTTGAACAATAATGAATAGTGTATTATCACTTTTCTCCCTGTGAATCCCTCTCCCATGACAAGGGCCAAGTGTCACATGCACTATTGGGGTTTTTCTGGTTTAGAGCTGTTAAAAGGAGAGTTACCCAAGGTGTGATTGATGCTGGCACCAAGAACATGAGCAAGATCATGTCCAAATACCAGAGCTAAGAACCTGAATTGGTCAGCAATCTAAAGGGTAGGCATTGAACAGCCAAGAATAGTGGCAAGGGAATCCAAGAATGGGAAAAGAAGGACAAGAACCATGGCCATTCTGAGTTGGACAAGTAGCAATTGCATGGAATCAATGTGAGTACTTCAAACACTGATAAGTGACAACTGTGATATGTTCTTTACCTCAAGGAAACACCCACCACATTTGAATGACTGAGGTGAAATGTCACTCAGTATGGAAATATGTTCTCATCATTTCTCCATATGACACACCCTATATACGACAAACCTTCATAGTCCCTATCTTGAGTCAAGTTGAGGAAAAGGTCCCTTAAAATTTTAGTAGCAGAGAAAAAGACTAGTAAATGTTCTTCCCTTCTTGACTGCTTTTTATTTCCACCTCTCAACCCCATAACTTCTTCTATCTGGAAGCCATTCCTTCTTTTTCTACCCTTGCCAAGAAATGCTCCTAAACTCCCATGGAAGGACAAATGCTTGCTCCTGGCCATTCCCTTCTCATCACTTTTTGTGGTCTTCTAGCCAGAAGCTCAACACCTAGGGGATGATAGCTGGTGTTCTAGGAATCCTTCCTCTGCTCCCTGAGATGCTGTGCTCACTCAGACTGCCTCAGGCTACAGTAATGTTCTGGCACATAGTGTTTGTCCGGGTGATCTCTCGGTGGTTTACGGTTCTGTGATGGTGTTGTGTAAGACACAAATTAGGAAGGAGAATAATTAAAAAGAATATAGGAAGTACCGAGCATCACTTTCCATTTTCACAATTCTGATGGGAAAATTTAAAACATTTTGTATATTTGCTTTACATGTTATTGGCTTTTTAAAAATGAAACATAAAACATTACCCTTAAATTTGAAGTTCGCTTTGATCCAAACTCCATTTCCACCATATTCATTCTACTGTGATTGTTTGTGTGTGTGCACATGTGCACGCACACATATGCTTGTATGGATAATTTTCTAGTACAAGGGTCAACAAATTTTTTTCTGTAAATGGCCAGGAAACAAATATTTTAGACTTTTAAGACCACATACTTGTCTCTGTCATATGTTTTTTTCTTCTTTTTTTATTTTGATACAACCCTTTAAAATATATTTTTTAAATTCTCACAGGGTGAATTGGCTCTGCACATTAATTTGTCAAACTATGTGGTAGGTCAATTTTATATTTTCACACACATGTATCATGAACAATAATGTTAGGCCTCCTTTGACTCCCGCTACTATAGTGTCTGTGATTTGTATGAGTATATGACCATTGATCACATCCATAGATTTTCCAGATTGCAATATATTCCAACTTAGTTTACTTGATGCATAAATCTTAAAAATGATAGTTTTAATAAAAATTGTTATCAAACACCTTGTTGCTTCTAAGCTACAGGGAATAAAGGTAGACTTGAAGTTTATAAATGTCTCAAATTAACATCGTGAAGAACCTGTTTAAATCTTCTCTGTATTTTTCTTTATATAGAGAAAGCTATATTACATTATTGCTTGATACCGAAGGATGAGCTATATTTAATGTAACTGACAACTGAACTTAATTGTGTTTGGTAAACACAACTAAGAGAATTTGTCGTTGATGTTATTTATCTACCAGGAGCCTATACGTGAGAGACCTATTTGTGATGTTTGCTCTCAATACCTCAGAAGTTGAAATCTCCACCTTCCTGTTGATTGGGATCCCAGGGCTTGAGAATGTCCACATTTGGATCTCCATCCCCATCTGTTTCATGTACCTCCTGGCCATCCTGGGCAACTGCACCATCCTATTTGTCATCAGGACAGATCCTTCCCTGCATGAGCCTATGTACTATTTCCTCTCCATGCTGGCCCTATCTGACCTGGGCTTGTCTTTCTCTTCTCTTCCCTCCATGCTGAGGATCTTCTTGCTCAATGCCGTGGAGATTTCTGCTGATGCATGTATTGCCCTGGAATTTTTCATCCACGGATTCACAGACATGGAATTCTCAGTGCTCTTGATCATGTCCTTTGACCGCTTTCTAGCCATTCGCAATCCCCTGAGGTATAGCTCCATTCTTACCAGCTCCAGAGTTTTGCATATAGGCCTGGCATTTGCTATTAAAAGCTTTCTACTAGTTCTTCCTCTTCCTTTCACTCTAAAGAGACTCAGATACTGTAATAAACACCTGCTCTCACACTCTTACTGCCTCCACCAGGATGTCATGAAACTGGCCTGCTCTGACAATAGGGTTAACTTTTACTATGGTCTGTTTGTTGCACTCTGCATGATGTCAGACAGTGTGTTCATTGCTGTTTCCTATGTGTTTATCCTGAAGACTGTACTGGGTATTGCATCCTATGGGGAGCGACTTAAGGCCCTTAATACCTGTGTGTCCCACATCTGTGCTGTGCTCATCTTCTATGTGCCCATCATCACCTTGGCTACCATGCATCGCTTTGCCAAGCACAAATCTCCTTTGGCTATGATTCTGATAGCTGATGCATTCTTGTTGGTACCACCTTTGATGAATCCCATTGTGTATTGTGTAAAAACTCGGCAGATTAGAGTAAGAGTCTTGGAAAAACTGAGTCTAAAGTCTAAATGATGGGACAGAGGTGGAAGTACCATTTTGTCTACAATAAATTGTCTTAGGAACAGTGCAATATTTCTTCTAAAGAGGAGACATTTCCTTTTACTTCATAGCCCTCAAGTTATATTAATTAATTAGTCAGTCAATCAATTATCCCTAAAGGAGACCTAATATACCACAGCATATCTTCTTTTATGGAAGAGGAAGGCTGCATTCCATAGAGGAAGTAGGAATGCTTTTGTTGTTGTTTGGGGGACTGACGGCATCTATCCTTAGGTATGAATGAAGAACAAGAATTTGGAGGAGCTTCTAAGGAGGAAGTATGATGAGTGGCCCTAAAGTGATGGGTGGAACTCTGAAAGGTTTTGGAGCCATTTAGCATATTCATATTTGCTTCTCTTATTTGCTTCTTTATTGTGTGTGATTTACATTAAGCCTTTTATAATATGTCTAAGTTGGCTTATGTATGTTCTTTTCCTTGCTGCTTAAAGTGTGGTACACTGTTCAACAGCAGAAGTTTCACCTGGAAAGTAACTAGTCATAAGCCTAGTAAGTCAGAATCTGCATTTTAGCAAGGTCTTAGATGATTGGTATGTACAGTAATTTCTGAGGGGAAAAAAACTTTTGGGGGCAATGTGAAAAGGGAACCTAGAGAGTATGTCTTCTGCTGACACCAAATTGGGGGGAAATTGTAGGTGGGCATTGGCATTTGGCAACATTTGTAGTAAAGGCAAAGGGCTGAGTCCTTGGAGCAATAGTGGACAGAGACCCAGAAACATCTCCAACATCTCTCTCATTGACTCCATTGTGAATTTCCACAAGGAAAGAGTTGTAAAATTTTCAACTCTAAAAGTCTCCTCACAATACAATTCCTTGTTCATAGTATGCACTTGGTAGATGTATATCAATATGAACCAAAAGAATAGTCCAAAATTTTGCTGGGGTGGAAATTCAGGGGTGAATCAGGGCGGTCATCACCTAGACTCAACTCACCTCTGCACTGTCTGCACCTCTTACCAGGAAGTTAACATCGACAGGGAATATACGGGTCCTTTGTGAGAGACAGAGAATTTAGGGCAGCCCATAATACCTTTAGGTACAATCATAATAGTCAAGCCACAACACAGAATCTGTGCTACTGTGGCGAAACAGATCTTGAAACAACTTTCTTATCCAAGCCTCCCTGGGTCCACCTATCAATCCTGGCATTGTAAATGGAGCCAGATTAGAATACTTCAAGGACATCCTAATGAGAAAGTGTCAACAAGAAGCTTTAGGGCTACAAGGACTAGGCCATCTTTATTTACATGATCAGAGTCCAGGATTACTGCTAATCAATGAGACATAAAGTAACTCCAGACAGGGGCTTTAGAAGCCATCCCATAGAAGAAAGAGTAGAAAGACCCTATCAGGGATGACGTCCTCCAAACCATTTACTGTGATAACTTAGTCCTGCCAGGGAGGTGACAAGAGGACTAAAAATAGCTCAAGACTGAGGTCAAGACTCGGCCCTTTGGTTTCATCTCCGCCATTTCCTGGCTATGTAGCCTTGAGAAAATTACTTCTATGTGTTGTGTATTATATTTCGTATGTACTTTGAAATTTAAAAAAATAATTCCTTCTTTCTTCACAGTCTGAATTAATATGTTAATCCTTTTAAGAGCTGTAAAATCCAAATATGGTCTTCAGACAGACTTATTTAGACAAGATATGTTTAGGTGAGTTCATATAAAAGTAGAGATTCACGAGCTATCTTAAAAGTATGAAGATATGGCAATACCAGGCTTGCATTCTCACATGGAAAAGCTCAGTAGGAGCACACCAAGAAGTGTTGGCCCTTACACAGTCCCTACTACTCATTGTCTGAGTACGTGCTTGCTCTACTTATTTCTATTATGACCTTGTTCTTCGAGGTATTTGAACTTAAGTCTCTGTTATGAATTCTTTTTTTTAAATGCTTATTTATTTTTGAGAGAGAGAGAGAGAGAAAACACACGTGAGAGTGTGAGGGGGGAGGAGCAGAGAGAAAGGGACACGGGGCATTCAAAACACACTCAATAGTGTCATTGCAGAGCTCGAACTCATGAACCCTGAGATCATGACCTGAGCCAAAATCAAGAAACAGATGCTCAACCGACTGAGCCACCAATACACCCCCCATTAATGAATTCTTAATTGTTTTCTCATCCTTGCCCCCACTTCTCTCTTTCTCTCTCTCTCTCTCTCACAGGTGTCTGGAGTCTTTTTTTAAGCTTTGTTTAGCAATGGGACCAACTCAGAGACCTGGATTTTGTAAAGCTTATCCTGGTTTTCAGTTTCTCTCAACTCCCCTGTCTCACTGTTACATTTTATTTAAGATTGTAAACATTCCTAATACCTCTATCGCCCTGTGTGTGTTAGAGGAGGATTTTCTTTCAAATCTGTCAGGTGATTTGCAAAGGTAACAGTGCCCCCTGACTGGCCAGGACTGGTAATATCAAGCACTCTCCACTTGAAGACTGAAGGGATGGGGTGGATGTGATCCCTGACCTAGAGAGAACAGTGAAACCCCTGCTGTGAGAGAGTTCTGTGTTCCCCTGAACCTGTAAACACGGGGATTTAGTTCATCTTCGCTGACTTACAAAGGTCCATGCAAACATGCTTTCAGCAGATCCTACGTTGCAGTTTTCCTTCCCTAAAATAAGGTGGTATGAGCTGAAAGAATCTTCAGCTATAAAGTTTTTTATTCACACTGAATAGGCATACAAGGTGTAACTACAGTTATTTTTAATATCATTAATTCCAAATAACTATAATTTATTGAATATCTCTTATGTTCAGACACTATGACAAAGGGACTTGATTTCATGCAATCCTTATTATACATATTTTGTAAACATGAGAAAAACTGTTGCCAAATTACACAGGAAGTAGTGAAGTGAGAATTCAAACCTAGGCCTGTGGAACTTCAAACTGTTCACATCATTCTACTGGCAGTAAATAAATGAGAAGTTGGGTGTCAGTGTAGCAGGGAAGAGGAAATGGTGAACTTTGGGAAAAGCAGGTTTCTCAGAGACCTCATCATTGTTGCCAAAAGAGCAGGCTGTTTCTCTGTTCAACAACTTAAAAAAAGTATTTTGTAGCAGGGCCTTTAGATTAAGCCAATCTGAAAATAAATGCTGCCTTTGCGACTAATTTTATATACTTCAAGCACTCTGAAATCCTCAGTCTCAGTATCTCATTTGTGAGATGGAAAGACTAATTATCTAACTGAGTAAGAGGATATATAACATACCTTGCAGAGAAACTTGGTATCAGATGAGAATATAACCATTCCTGCCTTGCTGGAAGGTATCCTGATAGATTGATATGTGTTCTTGTTTTGGCACTAAGTGGATCCAATTTGCTACTTTCGTTTAAAATGCATTCTTCTATAATCACAAGAGAACAAAGATGTTTCAATATCAGTAAATTGAACAACACATTAAAGCAGACAAATTATATTAGTGGATGCTGAAAAAGCACTTAATAGGATTTATCAAGTAAACTTATTATTAATAAAATTGGAATACACATAAATTATTTAAGTATTTAAAAATTACCCAAAGACCTAGCAGCCAACCATTGTTGTAATACGTGGAAGACTAATGCCATTCCTGTTAAAATCAATAACAAGATTTGAACATTCACTTTCACTGCTATTCTTTCATAATGGGTCGGAGAGTCCAATGAATTAAATAAAGTAAAATGAAATAAATTGTATGAATAGTAGGAAGAACTTACCAATCACCTATTTTTACTTAGATATGCTAAATATAAGTAAAATTCAAAAAATAAAAAGCAATTATAATTCATATGATAATTTGGTAAAATATATATTCATGCAAGATAAAAAATGATTTTCCTCAATCTAGCATTGGAAATAGAAATAGGGAATTATTTTATTTACAAGGGCAACAAAGTATACATTTAAAAACTATAGAACTAAATTTAATTAAGTAAATAATTTTATTGAAAAATTTAAAAAAGGTGTTCATAAGTGAAACATCTATCATATATTCTTGGATGTGACAGCTTATCATCATAAATGTTGACTTACACTTAATCTATAAAAATAATGTAATTCTTGTTAGAATTCCAAAGCTGCTATTTGTCTTTTGAGAGGGGGATCACTTTATACCACATATTAACAAGTCAGACTATGAGGCTACGCTAATAGGTCAGTGATATGTGATTATATACATGACACATATATATCAAAATCCATAAAAAGATCTGTAAAGCAATGTACAAACACACACACACACGTAGAATGCCATAGAAGGTTTCTGTCTTCTCATTTCTCTGCTGTGCAGCTGTTTAACTCTTCCAGTTTCCTCCGGTATTAGGATATAGCTGTGGTGGGGAAATTAACAAAAACAAAGCAATAACAGACACACACTTGGGTGGTTGTGATATGACCTATATCTTGGATGTTCTATGCCATGATCTGTAGTGTAACAGTGGGTAGACCGCTGCCATTCTCTGGAGCTTGTAAACTTTCCTTCACAGGCACATGCACACTTTCAAGGACAGGCAGATACATCCACATATATGTGCTTGTGTGTGCCCAAGTGACCATTTCATGCATGCTGAACTGAGTTCTTAGTCATGGAAACCTTTGTTTCCATGAGCCTCCAAAGGTGGAGGGGCATCCCTGTCATTGAGCACAACCCACCTTCCTGGGCTGTAGTCTCTTGAGTATTCTTTCTCTAACCTCCTTCATCTTGACACTGTAGAGAATGGGGTTTATCAGTGGAGGAAGCAGGAAGTGGACATAGGAGAGAAGAGTATGGGCAGGCTGAGGTATTGGCACTCTAAGACAGTCAATGAGGGCAAGAAGGATCATGGGCATGTAGAAGAGGAGGACAGCAGAGAGGTGGGCAGCACAAATTTGGCCAGCCTTCCAGCGATCCTCACTGGACCCCAAACCTTGCAACACCCTGCCAATTAGGCCATAGGAGAAAAAAATAAGCAGAGGGTCTAATCCCATGGCTGACAGAACCACGAAGAGGCTATAGACTGCACCCCGAGCTCCAGGGCAGGCCAAATGGGCTATATCTGGGTGCAAGCAGTAAGAATGTGTCAGGACCTGTGGGCAGCAGTAGGGCATGTGGGCCAGGAGGAATGGCAGGGGCAGATGGAGACCCAGGCATCGGAAAGCAATAGCCAGGCCAATCTTGCTAATGACATCATTGGTGATGAGAGTTGGGTAGTGGAGAGGCCGGCAGATGGCTAGTGCTCGATCTAAGGCCATGGCGAGCAATACAGACGACTCCATGACAGAAAAGACGTGGACAAAGAACATCTGTAAGAGGCAAACCGAAGCAGGGACTGTATGAATTCCAGCAAAGGCAAGACTCAGCAGGGTGGGCATCAGGGCTGTGGCCAAGCCAACATCAGACACACTAAGCACGAAGAGGAAGAAATACATTGGGCGGTGCAGGGTGGGATCCAGGGCAATGATCCAGAGGATAGTGCCATTGCCCAGGGCAGAGAAAAGGTAGACGGTGATGAGTGGTATTGTCCACCAGGAGGGTACAGCTGACAGACCTGGCATGCCCACCAACAAGAAGGTGGGGGCCATTGAAGTGTTATTGGGGGCTGCCTGGTTAGGGAATGTTGACATAGTTCAGGATCCCACTTTGAACTCTGGAACCTAAAAACTGATTAGAAAGATTACTTAATCTTTCGACACATTTGCATGATGCTGTCTAAAGCAGCCTGCCTCCTTCTTCCCCAGCCCCCAGCACACAGGCTTCCATGTTCCCTCCCAGCACACACATACATTCTAATATCTATGCCATAGTCATCCCTTGTCTTGGAAACTTTTCTAAAGCTGTCCTTAAATCTGTTTCTCTCCCTAAATTGTTTCTCTATTTTCCTTTAACCCTGCCTCTTCTTGTAGCTTTTTCCTAACTCATGGCCTTCCATTAATGGCAAACATCTGTGAGAGGGTCTATACTCCTATAAACACTCTTTCTGCACCCCTCAACCCCAGGCATTTTGACTTCAGTTCCCTTTATGTGCTCTCAATAAAGTCAGAAGTTACACCTTTTAGTATTAAATCAATGGGCACTCTTATTTCCTAAACTGATGCATTTCTCAATGAGCTTTGGCTGTTAGAAATCCAGTTTCTCTTTTTTTCCCCAGTTTACCTCTTGAAGTTAACTACTTAGTTCACCTTGCTATGTCCCATTTCAGGGTATATATTGATATTTTTGAGGATTCTTAATTTGGCTCTCTTCTTTTTCTTCAGTGGTTATATCTACTCTCATGACTTTAACTAAACTCTGTAGACTGATGAATCACAAATATATCTCCTAGCTCATTCTATATTCATCTTATCCTAGAAATTTCTACTCTTATGTCACATTTATTTTAAATTCAAATAATCCCCAAAAGATCTTCACAAATGCATCTTAAACAATCTTCCATCTTCCTCAGGAGACAGTGGTGGGGAAATTACAGCAATGACAAAAAGGAAAATAAAAAAAAGAAGAAAGAAAGAAAAAAGGGAACATATCTTGGTTCCCTACATCAGTGTCTGACAAGACCACTTACCAATTTTCCATAATAAAAGCCTTACAATTAGACTTACTTCACATATGATATCAAATATTATTTATAATTTCAACAATATGATTTATAATTTCCAAGCACACACTATAGTCCTATCTCTTTCCCTCAGTCAAATGCCCAAAAAAGTTAGAACTGAAATTCCATACATAAGGACCATGAAATTGTGATCTGGAGAAAAGAAAACTAAAGACATGTTGAGTTATATTCTTAGGGGAATAATATGGATGTAAATTAACTCTAAACATTTATTAAAAATTCTAAAGATATATATCCTAAAATATGAAGTTAAGCATTTTAAAATTAAATGTAAAACTTTCAAAGTATAACAGGAAATAAAATGAAATGAAGATCTTAATCAACCTAACAGAAAACATTTAAAGAGGAACAAATAGGAACAGATATTCATTTGTAGTGTGATTGAGTGAGGAGGTTGAAAAATCCTCTCTCGCAAAAAGCAACTGTAAAACTGGTAAAAAATCAATAGCACCATTTTAATACCATTCATTCCTGGATGAAGCCCATTCATTAAAACTACAGAACTTTGGGAAATAACTCCCAAGGTAAAGGCATTCTGGCCTGGGGCTCCCCTCATTATCCCCACTGCCTCCAGTTCTGTCAGAGGGGGAAGACAGGGACAGCTGAGGGCTTTGGTCCAGTTGTCTGAGCTAGCTTCCTTGATTTAGAGCTTGTCGGCTAGTGTGCTCATCTTGGTGGCAAGTACCTAGGGATGGCCTGAGGCTCTACTACCCTGAGGTTTGGGCCTTCTTTGCGGTGAGCCATGCATCAGTGGACTAGCTGGGGACTTCACAGGGAGTTCTGCTAAAATGGCAGATGGATGTCCAACCATAACAATAATTACAAAGTAAATGGACTAAACAGTCCTCACAAAAAGCAGACATTCTTCTACAGAATTTAAAAAGTAAGGAATAACTATATTCTGCACACAGGGGTCACACCATAGAGTCCAGGATATATAACTTGAAAGTAATAAGATGGAAAACCATATACCATACAAACAACAACTATAAGATAACTAGAGTGGTAATACCAGTATCAGACAAAAAAGGTTTCAAGACAGGAAATATTATGAGACAAAGGTATTTCATAAAGAAATAAGGAGAAATATCAGAAATATGAGCATTTATAAATGCATATACAAGAACACTAGATCCCTAAAACATATGCAACAAAATTGACAAAATTGAAAGAAATTATTCAGCAGTAAAAGTTGGAATTTCCATATCCCACACTCAATAATTAGACAGTTAGACAGAAAATCATCGAAGAAATAGAAATATTGAACAACATTATGAATCAAAAATGACGTTTATAGAATACTGTACACAATATTGTATATGATAGACTATAGTCTGAGTGACAAAATAAGCCTGAATAAACTTTAAAACAATGAGTCCTGTAAAGTATGTTTCTGGCTACAATGGTACTAAATTAGAGATCTACAATATCAAGAAATCTGGACTTCGAACAATACACTTTTAAATACTTCATGGGTCCAATAAGAAATATCCAGGGAAATTAAAAACTATTTTGAATTATATGAAAAGGAAAACAGAACATACCAAATCTATGGTGTACAATTAGAGCAGTGCTTTGAGAGAGATTTATGAGTTGATATTCCTATATCAGAAAAGAAGTTCTCAAATCAATAACCTGTGGTTCTACGTTAAGTATTTGTAAAGAAAAGAATAATTAAAACTCAAAGCAAGTATGGGTAAAATAATCCGTGTAAAGAGCAGCAAATGGAAAATTGAAAACAACAAAGAAAATCAATAAAACCAAAATTTGTTCTTTGAAAAGATGGGCAAAATTGAAAACCCTTAGTAAGTCTTACAAAAAAAAATAAGAGAAAAGACATAAATTATCAAGATCAGGAACATATTTACTGACATTACAGATATCCAAATGATAATAAGGGTATATTATAAACAACTATATGCGAGAAAATAGGTTAAATGAAAAAACAATCGTAGAGAGACATAAATTACCAAACTGAATCAAGGAGAAATAGGAAATCTGATCAGATCTATAACAAACTAAAGAAATTCAATTACTAGTTTAAATGTTTCCTACAAAGAAATCCCAGGTTCAGATGGCTTCATTGGTAAACTACAGGAAAATTCAGCATAAGAACAAATACTAAATGTTTCTCAATTTAAAAAATAAATAGGGGATAGTTTTATAAAATCCAACTCATTCTAGTCCTCATGGTGAGATTAGTGCTTTTATAAAGAAATGAAGGACCAGATTTTTCTCTGCCCAATGAGGATAGAATAAGAAATTGTCTTCCTGAGGGACAGGAAAGAGTTCTGACAAGGAAAAACTGAGCTGGCGCCTAAAATTTGGACACCTTAGATTTCAGGTTGTGAGGAACCAATATATGCTGTTAAAAGTAAGACAAAAAAGAAAAAAGAAAACAAAAAACAAACTCATGCTAGGAGTACGGCACGACCTTGATTTTAAAGCCAGACAAAGATATCACAGGAAAAAAAAAAAAACTATAAACAAATATCTCTGAAGTAGATAGATATATAACTTATTAACAGAATAGCAAATCAAAATCAACAACGTATAAAAAGAATTATATACTTTGATTAAATGAGACTTATCCCGTAAGGGCAAGATTGGTTTTATATTTTATTTTTATTTATTTATTTTTAAAAATATTTTTATTTATTTCTAGGAGAGAGAGAGAGACAGCTTGAGCAGGGGAGGGTCAGAGAGGGAGGGAGACACAGACTCTGAAATAGGGTCCAGGCTCTGAGCTCGCAGTCAGCACAGAGCCTGACATTGGGCTCGAACCCACGAACCGCGAAATCATGACCTAAGCGAAAGTCGGACGCTTAACGGACTAAGCCACCCAGGCGCCCCTGGTTTTACATTTTAAAATCAATTACTATAATATGCCATATTAATAAAATAAAGACCAAAACTTCATAGTCATCTCAATTGACACAGAAAAAGAATTCATCAAAATCCTATACTCATTCATGGTAAAACTCACAAAAGAGAAATAGAAAGGAACTTCCTCAATCTGATAAAGGGCATCTGTGAATAAACCTACAGCTAACACATACTTGACTAGGATTTAGAATGAGGCAAAGTTATCTGCTTTGATCACTTCTATTCAAAATTGTACTGAAGACTCTAGGTAATGCATTAAAGGAAACAAATTAAAATGCCCAGTTTGGTAAGGAAGTTATAAAATGACCTTTATTTACAGATGAGATGAATCTATATGTAGAAAATTCTATGGAATCCATCAAAAAACTACTAAAACGAATCAATGAGTGTCACAAGGCCATTGGATACAAATTCAAGATACAAATATCAATTGTATGTTTATAAATAGCAATGAATAATCTGAGAATAAAATTGAGAGAATAATTTTATTCATGATGCATCAAAAATTTTAAACTAGGAATAAATTTAACAAAAACATACTATTATACACTGGCAACTATGAAACAAAGCTGAGAGAAATTAAAGAAGCTCCAAATAAGTGGAGAGATATTGCATTTTTATGGATTGGAAGACTCAAGATAGTCAATATAGATAAAATATTTATAAGTATGGAATATGTAGGTATCTCTCAATTACCCCCAAATTACCTGTACTTTTAACAGTATCCCTGACAAAGGGCCAGAGGCCTTTTTGTATATAAGCTTATCCTAAAATTTATATGGAAATGGTATGGAACTAAAAGAGCCAAAATGATTTTGAAAAAGAAAACACAAAGCTAAGAAAGTTACACTACCCAACTTCAAACTTACCAGTCAAGACAGGGCGTGAAAACAGGCATACAGTTCTATGGAATAGACTAGAGAGCCTGAAAATGAACTTATGCATACATGGTCAACTGATCTATAGCAAGGATGCCAGGAATGTCCAATGAAGAAAGGAAAATCTCTTTAACAAATTGTATTGGGAAAACTGCTATCTGTATGCAAAACAATTAAATTGTATGCATATCTTATACCACATAGAAAAATCAATTAAAATGGATTAAATATTTATTTATTTATTTACTTATTATTTAACATAATTTATTGTCAAGTTGGCTAACATACAGTGTATACAGTGTGCACTTTGTTTTGGGGGTAGATTCCTGTACTTCATCGCTTATATACAATACCCAGCACTCATCCCAACAAGTGCCCTCCTCAATGCCCATTACTCAGACCTGAAACTGTAGAAGAAAACATAAGGGCAAAACTTTATGACATTGGAATTGCCAGTAGCACAAATAACAAAAACAAAATTAGACAAATGAAGCTACATCAAACTTAAAACTTCTGCACAACAAAGGAAACAGCCAACAAAGTGAGAAGCCAACCTACAGAATAGGAGAAAATATTTGCAAACTGTATTTGACAAGTGTTTAATTTCCAAAATACATGAGAAACTCCTACAACTCAATAACAAAAACAACTCAATTTTAAACAGGCAAAAGAACTAAGTAGACATTTTTCTAAAGAATACATACAAATGGCCAACAGGTATATGGTAAGATGCTCAATAATCAGGAAATACAAATCAAAACCATAATTAGATATCACCCCACACCTGTTAGGTTGGATATTAGCAAAAAAAAAAAAAATAGATATATATATAGTAAGAATTGGTGACAATGGAGCCACTATGGAAAACAGTATGGTGCTTCCTCAGAAAATTAAAAAGAGAATTCAGGGACACCTGTGTAGCTCAGTTGGTTAAACATCCAACTTTGGCTCAGGTCATGATCTCACAGTTTGTGAGTTCGATCCCCATGTCGGGTTCTGTGCTGACAGCTCAGAGCCTGGAGCCTGCTTTGGAGTCTGTGTCTCCCTCTCTCTCTGTTCCTCTCCCACTTGTGCTCTGTCTCTCAAAAATAAACAAACATTAAAAAAATGAATTATCATATGATCCAGCCATGTTGTTTCTGAGTGTATATTCAAAAGAATTGAAATCAGGATCTTGAAAGATATCTGAACTCCTGTGTTCACTGCAGCATTATTCACAATAGGTAAGATATGGAAGCAACCTAAAGGTCCATCAATGGATGAATGGATAAAGAAAATATGGTATATACGTACCATGGAATATTATGCAGCATTAAAAATGAAGGAAATATGCTGCAACATGGATGGATCTGAGGACAATATGTTAAGTGAAATAAACTGTTCTTATAGAAGGGCAAATACTGCATGATTCCATTTGTATAAGGTATGTAAATAGTCAAACTTACAGAAACAGAGAAGAGAATGGCAGCTTTCAGAATCTGGAGTAGGGGGAGACAAGGAATTCCTGTTCAATGAGTTTAAAGTTTCACTTATGTAAGATGAGTAA